GTGGCCCAGCAGCGTGGAGGGGTTTGTTATGCTCCTGAGGGGGTGCTGCTCCTCTGATATAAGCAGAGGTCCTTCTTGGTTGCCACAGTGCACGAGTAAAGAAGTTTCAGGCAAAAGAGACACAGGAGAAAACTTTAAGTTCACAGACATCTCTTTGCATTTTATTCTGCATTAGGGCTCAGCTATTGATGCCTTGCAGCTGCAACAGCTCCTTAATGAAGTGATCCTGCAAGGTAAACCTTTTACAACCCGGCTAATGTCTTTGGTGCTTCCCTATCCTTAGTTTAGTGTAAATTAGACAGAAGATTTAGTGGTGTCCTAATGGTCCTCAAAAAATCCTCAGTGTGGCTTACTGCACGGTTGGATCTTGAAGAATGGGAAGTGCCTTCGCCAGGGTTCCTTTACATGCACAACAGTTTGGTTTTATTTTTAAAAGAAAAGTAATATTCACATGAAGAAAGCAATGCAACCCAGACCAGCTGCTAACAGACGCTTTAGTGCACGGCTGTCAGCAAAGCTGTGCTTTGGCTTGATGGCCAAATTTCACCCTCCCTTCCCCCTCACAATTCTGCCAAGGGATAGTCTCTGCTTTGCAGACCTACCCTACCCCACGCTGCCCTTCTCCTGGGTGTCCCTGAAGCCCCCATGAGCACCCCTTCCTGCTCTGTGCCCCACCAATTGCAGCAGGAACTCAGTCCCGGGCTGGGCTGCACCAGTGAGCACCCCAGGGAGCTGTGCCTCCCAGTCTCCTCGCTGCCACCCAATATCTTCCAGTTCAGCCCTGGCCTGCATCACTCCTCTGCAGAGGCGTCAGGCTGGCTTTCATCATTTCCCAGCCTTCCTAAGCTGCCCGCTTTGAAAATAGCATGAGATAGGGGCACAGATGGAGGTCTTGAACCAACTCAGTCATGCACAAGGCTCAAAGTGCTCTTAGGACTGGCTAATTCAGCGTAAATGGCCTTTCTTGTCGCTGTCATTTCCCTTATCCTTATTTCAAGAGGGAAGACTTTCCATCGGGGCAGGTAGGTGGGCAGAGGCTGTGCAGAGTCCAAACAGGGCACCTGTCCTTGGGGAAGGGAGCAGTAGAGATCTGAGACACATCAGACTCCCTCGAAATGGACCTCTGCCTGGCACATAGCCATTGCTGCTGTTTGAGAACCTGAGCCAGATCTGGGGCTCTTTAGTTATGCGAGCCTTCAGACTGGTGTCCTCCTTCCCTCCAAATAGTGACCCGATGCCTCTGTCATTCTCCTTGCTCTTGTTAATTCCTTCTGTTTTGTCAATCCTTGCAGATGAAATGACCAGCCTGGGAGGAAGATTCAGCTTCGATTCGTGCAGAGGCATTTTAGCTCTGATGGATGTATCCTTTCAGCAGAAGCAATAAACTTCCCTGGTGCTGCCCATCCTTGCCTTGAGTTATGGCTGAGCTGAGCATCCCAGTGTGAGAACCTGCAAGTAAATATTAGCCACAGTCCTCAATAAATAACTGTCCCAGAGTCTATGCAGGACATTGCCATGCGTGCCCTGGCTCTGGTGTCTCTGCTGAAAGGTGAGGGTCAACCTTCTGCTACCAGCTAACTCTTTGCTCTCATTTTCCCTTCTGCAGGGCTCAGGGCTTGGCTAAGCTTCACCCTTGGGCACACGTCCCAGGCAGAGTCCAAGGCAAGGAGGCAGCACACAGTTCAGGCATAGCTCGGCTCTCCCGTCACCGCTGCAACTACGTTGGCCTGTGATGGCAGCTCGAGCAGGCTGCTAGCACTGCCAGCAAAGCTGATGTAAGGGGGAGAAGCACTGTCACCACCTAATCACAGGCACTTGCCTGGCAGACCATCCATCCTTTCCAGTGTACCTTCCCTACTTAGATGGATCATGCAGTCTTTTTACTGTTAACAAGGCAGAACTGGAAATACAGTGCTGGCCGTTGTAGAACAAGAGGGCTCCTTGATGAAAACATAAATTCTCCCCTGTGTATTCCCCGCCTTGCTTGCTCTCAGATCTTTTCTTCCATGCCTCGAGATAACTTTGAGACATCTTCAGACTGTTTTAAACTGCCAGGGAATGAAAAAAAAAAAAAGACCAGAAGTCCCTCTCATTTTGGCTTTCTGTACCTAGCCAGTGAAAGAGACTTTCCCCTTTCCAAAGCTCCTCCTGGGGTAAGTGGGTGCTGTGAATGTGTGGCACATGCAAAGAACTGACAAAGCCACTGCTCTGCCTTAATTTGTGATGGATTTTTCATTCTCTGGGCTGCATACAACCCATGTACAGTGTGATCAATCCTGGTCTGCAAAGACAGGATCAGCTTTTTTCACTCAGGTTTCATGGCAGTGGCACTTGTCTGCTCATATTTCACCAGTGATGAGTTTGGCTTTCACGGAGTTTTCACTATCTCAGTTGCATTAGATGAGGTGCTGCATGTCTGCCTTGGACTCCTAGATGATGTACGGAAGTGAGCAGGTCCACTGACATAGTCATTTGAGTACCCCTGGGGGATGTCTGTTGACACTCCTGGGCTCCTGTGGCTCAGAGGAAAGTGTTTTCTTGCCTGCAGCGTATGTATGGCTCAAAGGCTGCTGCTGTCTTGTGATGGCAGGCAGCAGGATCAGCTCCTTGTGCTCTTGACTCCTTCAGTGCCCGTTCCTCCAGGAGGATCCAGCCAGAGCTAATACTGTGCTGCCTCAGGTACAGATGCAAGTCAATGTGCACACGTGGCCTGGAGCATGGGGTCATGTTCTTCCACAGGGGCCTCTGTGCTCAGTGGCTAAGTGTCAACTGAAGCAGTCGCTGCAGGTTCCCTTGTGGTTAAAGGCACTATATAAATAGAAACCTTTTGTTGTTTGTGAGCACAGGTATGAGCAGCTGTACAATGTGCCAAAGAAGGTGAATTTAACTCTAAGCATAATTGAGAGCAGAAAAGCTTTCTCAACACCAGGTAATAGACAGAAGAGACTATCTTATGTCTGTCTTTATGTGAAGGCAGCATCCTCGGGAATGAAGACAGCCAGGTTTAGCTCTCATTAACTGTTCAATTCTTAACTGAATGCACAGCTCAACTCGAACGGACAACTCACGCTGCAGGAGTTCGGGAGCCTCTGGCGAAGTCTCACTAAGTACATGGTACACGAGGGCTGCTTTCTCTTCTCTGCCGATACTGTACACTTGGGCTTTTCATCAGCAGGGGACATATGCTCTGTGATTTCAAAACACTGGGGGGAAAAAACGTTGCAAAGGTTGCTCGCTTAGTGGGTCAGATATCCATCGTCTCATGCAAAGGTTGAGAGCTCAGGAAGCAGTGCTGTCTGTAAAGTGCTCCAAATAAGCAGCAGAAGCTTTTCTGGTGCAGGGAATATTGAGGTAAAAGGGGGAAAAGGTAGGAAGGACAATTAGGCTCAGAATTTGATGGAAATCTCTGTTTGTGTGTCACCGCTGGCAATTTTTTTAAAAGCTTTCTAAGCTGAAATGAGTTCTTGAAAAGTCATCTGAAAAATGTCACTTCCTCGTTGCTGCAGTTTGTAGTGGAAATGTATAGGATCTAATCAAATTTTATCTGGGAGAAATGTCTTTGCTCCAGGATAAGCATTAGGTCTGGAAGCAATGAGGACAGTAGCTTGGTAATTACGATCCCACCTAAATTCAGGCAGCTTCTTTGTGTCAGGTCCCTCTCCCTTCAGTCTTGCTGCAGGATGGGAAGATTTTCTGAAGCCTCAGAGTTGGGTGGGGTCTAATTTGTTTCATCCCTCTTGAGATGGTCTGAGGCCACCTAGGACATGGGGTGCCAGTTCCCCATCTAGCAATGGTGCTCTTCCCACCCACTGGCAGCACCTCAGGTGTGGCTTGTGGGGTTTCAACAGTATGTTGGGAAAGACAACCCCACAGCATTCTGGGACTCAGGGACTCCTAGCTTTTTTCGTGTGTCAATGTCTTTTTATCAGTGGAGGTGTAAGTATTCCCATTGCTGCCTGCACACATAAACCAGGGAGAGGGACCAAAAAAGCTTCCACCCATCCAAAACTGTGGGATTTCTTATGCCGTAACACATTGACCTAGCCTTCTGGAAATGGGTCTCCCTTGTCATGGTCATCCCATCTCATCTGTTGAACTTCCTTGTAGCATGTTTATTAAGGAAGTAAAGGTTCCTACACAATTGGATGTAATAGTAAATTTGGGGAATATTGATATGAGCTTGAAATCTACCTTTACACTGTTTTTCAGGATATCTTCAGCAAGGCGGACAGAAATCATTCTGGATTTCTTGATGTGTCTGAACTGAAGAGTGCGATACAGACAGCAGGTATGTCCATAAGTGTGTCCCTTACGGCTGTCTTGTCCCTGTGGCTGTGAGGGAAAGAATGAAAAAGAGAGAGGAAAGAAAAAAGAGCTTCAGGGAGAAAGCAGTTTGGATTTCCCAGAGGTGCCAGTTGGATCACAGCTCTGCTCAGAAGTCTGCATTGTTTTAGGGCATTGAGACAGAAAGCTCATTTCCAGGAGAAACCCTTTGCACTGCAGTTGGGGAGCCAGCAGAAAGATGCAGAGATGCACAGCACTGGCTAGAGCCTGCAGACTGGTCTATCCATAGTGTCTCTAGGTCATGGACAAAACAGAGGAGATGAGCAGTCGGTGCTTGCACTTACCCCAGTTCCTGCAGTTTCTCTGCAGGGCAGTGACTAGTCTATAAGGGAAAGCCACAGTGACAGACATTTATTTAGTTTGCACTGACCTCTGTTGGCTACACGAATGCTGAAACTTGCAGTGAGTGCATGGGACGGGCCCCTTCATGTGAGTGGAGCATTTTAGCCGGGTCATCTCTCCAGAGACTTTGTGCATGAAATACAGTTCTAAGGCAACCATCCCTTTATAATTGTACAGTAGGGAAGCTCCCATTTAGCTACCTGGAGGTTGGAGTGGTGGTGTCCCCAGGAGAAACCTGGTGCTGAAGTGCTATCTGTGGAGCCCTCAGCTCAGGGGATGTACGTATAAATTTCTCATTGCTGAGAGGTGGGCAAAGCGTTAGCATCTGCCTGAGGAGCGCAGCACTAACGTGCCAAATGCCAAAGCAGAAGCTGCCAGGTCCATTCTGTGAGAAAGGCGCTAAAGTGTAAAACTGGGAGGAAAACTGTATATTGAGAAGTCCTGGCAGCCAAAACAGTGCAGCTATTTGAAGGGATAAAAAGGCACTATTAAATGGCAAATTCAATATATGTGTGGCTATAAGCATTTCGAAGCAGGGGAAAAAAGAAAGTTATAAGCTTGTTCTTGCCGCTTTCTGAGCCAGACAGTTGCATTTGAATTTGGTTTTTCATTAGGATGATTCCCACCCTGCCTTTTAAGCAGGAAGGAGTGGACAGCCCCAGAAAGAATTTGGCAGGTTGATGCTACCTCTGGGAAGGGCACTAATATACCTAAATACAGTTCCTAGCCAGCTGTTCCCTGAAGCGTTCAGTGCAAAACACTCACGTGTGTGCGCTCTTAATTTGCACTGTTGTCCTATGCGCTTCACAGTGTAATAATGATGGGCCAAATTTTCTGCCAGAGTAAAGCAGGCTAGCTGCACTAACAGCAGCGCTACCCTGAAAAGCAGGAGCATTGGCCTGGGGTATATACAAACACCTCACAGGCAATATTAAATGCACCAAAATAATTAAAAAAAAAATAGGGAAACATAAGGTCTGTATTTTAAAGTCTAACTAAAACCAGAGGGAAGAATCCAGCAGACAAAAGGTGTGGGGAGTAACATTACAAATAAATAACAGCAGGTAATTGAAACACCTTGGGAACAGAGAGGACTGACACTCCAGTCTTGTTGATGAGATTAATTGAGAGACGGTGCCAGGTGAGCAGATTTCAGAGTAGGTATATCCCACACTGACCGTGCAAAATTGTTGGTGTTTCACTAGTATAAGACATGATTATATTATCTTGTAAACAGCACTGCAATGCTTGCTGCAATCTGCTCTCTGTAGAGAGCTTGACTGAATTCCCACTGCCTTCAAAAGGTTAAAAATTAGGTAGGATTTATTGCTCACTACTATAGTGGTTCTCAGCTGTGGTTTAAAACCGGAATCAAAGACAAAATGCGATTAATTAGATTTTTTTAAATTGCTAACTTCTCCTCCTAGGAAAAAAAAAATCTAAAATCTGGTTTATCTTAATTTGAAATGTATTTTAAGCCCAAATGTATTTCCATTATTTAAATGTTCAGCATTTTCTGTCTGCTTCCTGCTGGAGAACTTCTCCAGCTAGGCTCGTGCAACCAGAGTTTGTTGACATACTAACCCGCCTCCATTGGCTGTATTTCCCTGGACACAAGTGCAGAAAAAACATTTCCTTCTTTTCTGCTTATTCAACTAATTTAGCTCCATGATGAGTTCATTTAAACCAGAAAAGTTTAGAGCTGGTTGAAAAAGCAGGAGAGCTACTTCTCTTCCAGCTGAGCCACTAAAATCTAGGAGTGAGGAAATTAGACTTTTCTGAAGTCTCAGAGAATGCATTAAAGTAAAGATATCAGTCCAGCTCTCTGCAGAAAATTTCTCTTTTGTTTAGCAAATCCGCTTTTAGTGCAAAATATATTTAAATCATTTCTCTTATGTAGCCAGCACACTTAGGGTAGTTTTATTTAACTAATAAAAGAATCATTCTAAAAGGCAATTTTTGTTCATTCAATTGAATACCAATTTCCATCCAAACAGACTGTGACACAAATACTGAATAATCAGCTAATAAAAAAGAAATGCACCCTTCACCATTTTCTAATAGAAGAGAAAATGTAAAAATTAAGAATCCCAGGCATGCTATACTGCATAACAACATGAGCGTGCGGTGTCTCCCTGTTTAGCAGAAAGTGACAGTGGTATTGTAAATGCTATGCTCAGACTTTAACAGTTATGAGCCAAAGAAAATCACTCTTTCTTATAGAAAATAAAAGCTAAAAAGGCAAAGCAAGATAACGCTTGATTATTTAGCTCAATGTTTCCTGCTTGCTGACCTAAGCCGCAATTTGAGTGACTAGAAGGGCTTTGATTTTCCATCACCCTACCCGACTCTTATGCACAAACCTGGGGGAAGGAAAACCACTGTCCAGGGATGCAGAGACCTGGCATGACAGGGTGGGGGGCTGAGGGAGGGCCCCAGCTTCTTTGCAGGGTGCAGAAGGCCACCGAAGCCGGTCCGTCATCCCACAGTGTGTCCCCAGTGCTGTCGTTCCTCTTCCCTCCACAGGTCTGGCCGTCAACGAGCAGCTCCTGCGCCTGATGGCCCTGCGGTATGGGGATGCTGCCAGAAGAATCGGTTTCTCTGACTTCGTGTGCTGCATGCTGCGTCTTGAAACCATGACCCGTGAGTCCCAGCACTGGGGCATGGGGTCAGGCAGGGGATGTGGCAGCAGGGGAGCTTGCAAAGCCAGACTGAGGGCAGTGGCAGAAAGCAAGGGACATGCTGCTAGAGATGATACTTGTCTAACAGCATAGCTTGGAAATAACAAAACTGTCCAAAGTCCAGGCACGGGGCAGGCATTTCTTTGGGCAGCCTGTTTGCCAGAAGCCAGATTTGCCTCCTGCACACAGGAGCAACTGGCTGGTAGAGAGCGGTTTAGTGCTGGGAGAAAGCAGCCGCTGGGAATACAGGGATGTCCTCGCTGAAAGGGGCCAGAAGAAGGTCAGCCCTTTGTTGTTCTGTCAGAGCACCTTTGGCTGCAGCCGCACCATGCTGCCCTGTCTTTTTCCCTGCTGAGGAGCGACGGTAATGTATATCCAGAGCTTCTTCAGCTGCCAATCTTTTTTTGCTGCATGAATTTATCCTGGCCTCTGCAGGCTTGTCCTTAGAGCCCCTATGCACTAAGACACGTTTTCTAAAAACAAGATGTGTCCTTGTGCTGGTGCCCTTCCATGCAAGCTTGAGCATCCTGGTCCACAGCAGAGCTTCCTCCAGGCTGGTGTGGAGCATTGCCGGTACCACCGAGGAGAGACTGCATGCATTTATGGCCCCTGAGGAGGAAAGAAGCAACTCATCTCAAGTGGAAGGCTTTCTCTTTTGGTTATTTGGAGAAGTCTGAACCACAACAAGACAAGTGGGGGGTTTTTTTTGGTTTTTTTTGGGTTTTTTGGTTTTTTTTACTGGAGAGATATTCCCACCAACTTCAGTGAAGTTCTCTCAGTTTTTTGGTAAGAATAAGGTCTGAGATCCTCCTCAATGGATAAACAAACCCATGCCCTGTGTTGTATCCAGCTATTGCCTGGCAGTTGTGAGGAGGCAGTGCCTGTAAATAAGCCTTTGCCTGAAAGTAAATGGAATTCTGTTTTACAAAAGCGTAATTTTTACTATTATAAGTATTTTGACTGGAAGTAATTGGTAGTTAAACAAACCCAGCAACTGTGACCCATGTGCTAGAACATTACTACAGCGATTTAGTTCATCTTCAGAATGAGCTGGGTTTCAACAGTAGATGGAAATGAGTGTTATTTTTCTTTGCCTGTGTGTTTTTACCACTGATGTTTTATGGGCCAATAGTGGTCAGCAGATCCGCCCAGATGACACTGCCTAAAATCGCATTTCAAGGGAGTACAGCAGAAGCAGCTCAGAAAGTCAAAGTGTGTCATGATTTTAATGCTTTCCGTAAAAAACAGACAACTTGTAAACACCCATTTTTTGTGATTATACATGTCACTTGCTGTAGATGAAAATTCTTATGCCTATATTTGTACCATGGCTTTTTTTTTCATCTTAAAAAAGATCCTCTTACATTTTAAGTGCCAGTGTAAAGACAGCTCCTTTACATCCACATGGAAAGGAATCTCTAGAAGTTTCATTGCTGTCTCTAATGAGTATCTTAAAATGCTCTCAAGTCTTTCAGTTATCACTTTACAGCGGGTTTAATGTGGAATACATTTCTCAAACTTTTCAAATAATTGTGAATAAGATTTTTACAGGAGAAGATAAGGGTGCCAAGTGGGAATGAGAGGCAGTCCACCTTTATGATGATGTGAATGCAGCAGGGAAGATAAAATCTGTCCCATTAAATCATTACTCATCCTTTCAAGATAGCCAGAGATGAGACCCAACCCAAAAGCAGCAGCTTCTTTGCAAACTCTATTTAACTGGAGTTAATGAAGCAGTAAAAGGGCACTTACCTCTGCCCAGAGGAGGTAACTTCAGCGCTGCCATTTGTTCCTAGAAAGATTGCTGGGCGCAAGCCCAGCCCTGCAAATCCAGTCTTGTCAAGAGGGTGCAACATGGGGATTTTCTTGATCTATGCCTTGCTTAGGAGCACTATAGGCTGGATGTGCTTCATTGTGTTAGTTTTCCTCTCTTCTCTGCTTCTTCTCTGCTCTGGATCATATAGGTAGCTCTGATTGTCTTCTAAGGGGCAGATGAGCAAAGGGTCCTTGTCCTCTCCCAGCAGCCTTGCACCTTCGTATAAAGCTGGGCAGATTTCGAAACATTTGTGATCTTACAGTCCCTTTTCCATTCAGGGTGGGAAACAGACTCCTGGAGAGATGTGTCATTCAAGGACAGACAGACTTAAATTTGTTTCAACTTTTTCATTACTGTTTATAACAGTACATTTCTAGGAGAAAAGTAATTTCAAAATAAATAAAAAGAACTCAAAATACTGCATTTTGGCTTTATCCAAACACTTGGGTTTGAACATTTGTCCTAGACAAACTGCAATATAAATGTGCACATAGAATATCAATATTTGAATGGATTGAAATTTTCTGATGGCAAAGTGTTCTGTCAGAAAACTTTCAGCAATGCTAATTTCAAACTCTAGCTGAATAACAGCAGCATCTGCATTTATATTCCCCAGAAAAGGCTTGCAAGGCATACTAATGACTTCAAGACAATCTCTTTCTTTAGGGCATACTGTGATTGCTCACTGCCAGGGAGGATGGAAAAGGACCAACAGAAAGTTTCCCTGTAGGAAGATGTGTTTCATTAGTTCACTGTTCCGTCACTCTTCAGGTGGGAGCTACTATTGAAACAAATTAGGAGAGTAGACGAAAGCAGTCACTTTGAGCTCTCCCTGTTCCTACACTTCTGCCAAATTCTGGGCCTGCAATTGGTGTGCCTTCTCAGGCTGTGATCCAAGGGACAAGGCTGAAGGGGTACTCAGCACAGAGATGAGATGCAGCGAGGCGGGACAGTGTGTGTGGACATCTGAGCCAGGCAGAGCATCCCGGCACAGGGATCGCAGCTCTGCTCCTCAGCTGCCACAGCCTTATGTCTGTGTTGCATTCTTGCTTCCTCCTCATGAAATACAATTTTCTTTGTTCTACCCCTAGATGCATTTCAAAACTTAGCAGAAGGTGGATCACAAATTTTGATGACGGAAATGGAGGTGAGGATGCTCCTTCCTTCTCTTCTCTCCAGGTCCAAAGGGGGACCAACGAGAATGTTAGCAGGAGGGTGAAGTTAAAGATGATGTGTAATGTATATTGCTAGGGATTTTGCTTCTGACACCGGCATTGGTGAGGGTTGCACCTGGGTTGATGTGAGTAATGGGTGGGAGAGATTTCCCTGGGGTTCCCTGGCCCCTGTCACGCAACCTCGCTGGGGTGAGCATAGCTCTGTGGTGGCCATCCACATCCAAAGTACAGAGTCTTCCCTCACTGATGCCAGCCTATCATCGCTCAAAGTGACTCTGAGGAAGTGACCAAAAAAACCAAATCCTTATTGCCCCATCTGTTAATTCTGAATTGTGAAACATCTTGGTTTTAAGAAAGAAATAGCAGACAAATGCTTACTGCTACTGTTTGTCTTAAAAGCACAGCCTGAAGGATAGCTAGCTGAATGGGGATACATCAAGCTTTTTATCAGCTAATCTGAAGCAAAAATCCTGCTGTGCTCCACAGCGATATGCCCGAGTGCTGCATTTATCAGTCTGGCGACTGTTATTTGACAATACAGTGTTTAAAAAGGTTTTTTTAAAAAACCTTTTACAATCTTGCCGGCTCCTGTTTACACTCTGCGGTTAGTTCAGTGGCTCATAGTTCATTAAATCTTTGTTGCACCAAGAGCTGAGCAGAGTTTCCAAGCAAAGGCCCTGAACCTGTTTTACAGGGTAGTCTGCAGGATAACCAAATTCCCAAAGCCTGCCATCCTTACCACTCCCAATCATGCAGGCGCCATCCTTTCCCAGCAATTGCTCCTGCTGCAGCTGCTGCAATAATTTATCATGGAAAGTAACATATGGGCAGTGTTTGTAGGTCTGAATTGTAATAAGGGAAAATGGTCGTTCCAAAATCCCTAAACTGTCCTGTGCAGGACGAAAGAACCGTAGTCAGTGGGTGACAGCCTGGGGGCACTGAGACACAGCTGAAGACTTAGTGTAACATCACTATCTAAATGCACTTTTTCTTCTCCTTTTTCCAGTGGCTGACTCTTGTCATGTACACCTAAAGAGATGTCAGAGCTTAATGTAGCTGGTAAGTAATCTCCTTAGTACTATACATACTGAGAAGAAAGGGGTGGGTGTCCTTACAGTGGCCACAGTGAATATGGATGAGGGCCTTACAGAAGCCCTACCCTGGGGTTATGGTGGGTTTTGAGACAAAGGGAAAGGTGAGGGCTGCAGCGTGAGCGGGTCTGGCCAGGGGCTGCAAAGGGAATTGGGCTTTGAGTAATTTTTTCTGGGGAATTGCTGATGGCCTTATCAGTTGCTCAGACTGCTGATGACTCAGCCACTTGTCCCCTGTTCCCACCTGAGGTAATACACTTTCAGTAGATCAACTAGCAGAACTTGTATTTTTGTCGTCTTCTAAGGGAGGCAATTGCTCCTGCATATCTTGCATAGCTGCAGCAGATGTAAAGCCAAGTAGAGGGTGGGGAAAGGAAGTCTTTTAGATTTCTTGGTCAGTTTGATTTCACGTTTTTAACTGAATTACGTAATTTAGTTTACCTTTGAACAACAGTCCCTACCTTGCGTTTCATTTGATGTTTGCTCCCTCCATGTCAGACCTGGAGAGGGCCTTCATTGTCCTGAAGTTTAACTGAAATTTCCAACTTTGCTACTTGGTTCTAGTGAAGAACTCTGCCTTTTCCTACAAAGCTTGTCCTGTTTATACATCCATAAACCATCTTAGCCATTGTGCTTCCACTTACCCACTGGGACGCAGCTGTGCAGTTGCAACAGGTAAAGCATTAGTGCTGGTTCCAGACAGTTGGCACTGAGGAGAAAACTGGGAGGAAACCCAATCCTTAGAGAAAAGGTACATTGGAGATCCAGCAGTCTCCTGCCATTTTGTTGCGGTTGACCCCAGGAACTCATGGAGCACCCTTGGGCAAAGTCAAACACTTTCCTTATCAACCCAGTTCAAAAATAGAGTGAAAAAAACCCCCAAAAACTAGGACCTTCATTGAAATCCAGGGACCGCTTCTGGATGAGCCTTCCTATAGACAGGAATTACAATAATAAATAATACATGAACAGCATCTGTGGTATCTCACAACCTGTTTCTGAAGACAGGTGACATTCAGTGCCAGCTTTAGTAAGAAGCTGAAAGGGGAAATATATAATCAGGGTGTAAATTACGCTCCCCCACGGAGAAAGCATGGTAGATTCTGACCCAAGGCAGGAACAGCTCTGTGCCTTTCACCCTTGGCTGGGTGAAAGGACAGTGTTGATGCCCAGCTGCTCCTCTGCCTTGGCTGCTAATTGCATCCCGGTGTGTCCATCTGCAGCAGGAGCTGGGCTTCACCACTCAACACTGTAGTGCCTTCACCTCTCTGACCTCTGTTTGCACATGTTTCTTTTGTTTGAAAGCCCGCCCTTTGCATTCAAAGGGCTTTGGACAGTGCACCTTCCCTTTGTCACAGCAAAGCTGTATTTTGGTGTGGTGGTGTGTAGCAACAGGTTATTCACAGACATAGCACCCACCCCTTGCACCACAGAGTATCGTTAGGTAAATATGAGACCAGAAGTACCTCACTCTGGGGGATGAAGTTGCTTAAATTATTGCTTGCAAATGATATTCATAGCCTATTTAGTATTCTTTTTTCTTTTCATGAATCATTCATAAACTGATCATAACTTCTGCAAATATATCATTAATCATAATTTTCATTTACCAGTTTTGAATGAAATTCTGCCTGCAGGGTGTTCAAAAGCAGTTCACTAGTTCACTCGAGCAATGCAGCAGCCACTTGCAGCTGGAGACTGGGCAGTCACGGCACGGGCCCCTCAGAGGACTGAAGCTCTCTAAACGAGAGCGTACAAACCATGAGTGATGTGAGAAAGCACACTTGGCGTTTGTTGGACAAAAATCTGTTGAAAAAAACACTCCCATTAGTGATTTCTAAAGACTGACTTCCAGCTGTCTGTGTTTTGAATGATCCTCTTTACCTGTTTTAGGTGGCTTTTCTACTTCCCAGTATGACACAGCACAAGGCCATCCTATACAAGAGCCACCCATGGGGCTCTTGAAAAACCAAACACCGTGAAGGAGTGAAGCCAGGTTTCTTATGGACACTTGCTTATGGTTGATGTACTCAGATGTCTGGATGGAGAGTCCTTTTCAGGCAAATTGGAGTTGGTTTGGAGAGACAAGAAGAGATAATGAGACAGATCCGTGGGCAAACTGGTAGTACTTAACGGTTGGGGCAAGCTGGAAGTGCCGACTATAATCTTCTCTCATTTTCTGGTAAATAGTGTGGCTGGTTCTCCTGGTTGATGCACAGAAGTCAGGACAGCTCCATTAGCTTCATTGCAAGTAAGAATAGAATCTGGTCTTTTGTGTGGAAATAGTGACTATTGCTTAGATAACAGAAACAATTAAGATGCAGTTTTATTCGCATTATTTCTTAGCTTGCTTGTGTGCCATTTCTAAATGTCAGAAAAAGGTTGAAGAAATTAATCATAATTCATAAATAACACCAGGAGCTTTGCAATTTTGTTTTTACTTTTTATTAATAAAAAATTTAAAAAAACTTTTATGCATATTTCATTTTGTCAGCTGTAGGGATTCCATTCTATTTGCTATGGCAATGAAGAGGCATATTAGAGTTGTAGAACAGATTGTTCAGTGTTTTTTTCTGACTCCCAGCATCTATATCAGGACTGTCTGGGAAGAGATAAATTTATCTGAACTGCATTCTCTTTCTCTGTCCTGATGCCTTTAAAAATATAGGGCTTCTTCAGACATAATTCTGTCTCAAAAGTTTGACTTAAATCTGCTAAATAACCGTAACCTTTCTGTAGCCCACACGCAAACTCCGCTTTCACGCTTTTTTATCATGGCGATAAAAGCAAAGCTAGGGTTCTATTCTACTCAACTATTGAAAAAAAAGAAAATCTCTGAGGACTCTATTTGTGAAAATGCCAAAAAAGAAGGATGCAAATGTCGATGGATGAAAGCAATTCAGGTTGCCATGGCAATGTGATTCACACCATGCCTCACCCAGACCTTCCACACAAGTTTCCATCAAGGCGTCCACATGCTAGAAACAGATTTACTCGTTTGGCAGCGAGACGTTACACACTGGAGCAACAACTATGTCACAAGGTAAAGAAGGGACTCGTGTCTTTGTTGTCATGAGGTCAGTCTGCAGAAGTGTCTCGTTCTGCAGCTTGGAGAGCATTACTCATGTTGGTAGGGCTTATGCAAAGCGGGGCCACTGAACCCACCCTTTCACAGAAAATGTGGGGAAAGGGATATCAGTAAAATTAGACTATTCCAATATTTTTCAGTCATTTTTAAACAAAACAATTCCTTTGCCAAAGTGGGACTTACATATCCCACCTGATATCATTAATTAAGCTCTCTGAAAATAAACCCCAAAGTTGGAAAAGAGAGAAGATACATAAAAAAGGAGGCCATGAAAAAATAAATATGCTCTGCTAAAAAGGTGTATTAGTAGATCCATTTCAGAGAAGTATGCTTCTTTAGTTAGTCTGAGAATTCAAAAAGGGTAAGTAGAAATCTGGAAGTACTTCTGTGTGATGTCCACCACGCAGTTCAGGAACGCTCAAGCTGGTTCAGACCTGCTGGCAACAAGCTGTTTGTAGCTACACAGAAGTCACCCATGGTAAAATTGTGAAATTCAGTTCAAGTCAACAGGCTTAAATATGTTCTTGTTGTGTGGAAGTCCCATCTATAAAAATACCAAGCTGTTAAGATCAACATGTTAAAATCAGTCTTAAAAATCTTCATTTGCAGAAAATGTATTACTTCTCCTTTTGTTAAGATGCATAATTGCCTTTCTGCAGAAGGCAATTCTGCTTGTTGTGAGACAAAGATCCTTGTCTCTAATAACTTTGGCCACATACTAAAGTGTTTCTTCTTCATTAAAAAGCTAGCAGCAGACACCAGACATCCCAGGTGAGAAACATCACCGATACATAAGGTTGTCTCCCCGCGGACAGATGCCAGGCACGCTGGCTCTTCTCTCACAAGGGGTGCGGGTATGCCCATGAGCAGAGACCCTGCAGCCCGTCGCCCCTGCAGATGCTGCTGGCTGGAGCCCACCTCTGCCTCCATCACGCTGACCCTTCACTCTGTTGTGTGTGGTCTCTGCACGCCAGCGGTCTCAGGGACGAACCTACGGCCCCTTCGGGTTTGTGGGCTGGCGCCTGCATGCTGATCCTGCGCTGGGGCAGAAAGTAATAACTCACTGCTGTCAAGCTGAGTGTGGCTGCCTGTCTGTAGCGTTAGAAGAATTGGTATTCCGCTTGATTTATACTTCCAACCAAGCTAATTAAGCAACAATTCAGGAGGAATCCATCATTGTGACAGACTTGTTGATTAACCATCCCACAAGCAAAGTCAAGGGTGTCTGGTAGCCTGAAAAAAAAATATCAGGTCAATAGGGAGAAAAACAATGATTTGGCCATAATACAGCAGTGACTATTATTTCCAAAAGCAACAAGAAGCTTAATACTTTTCACAAACACAAGGGCCAACATGAAAAACAGAGGCAGCTCTGATCAGTGGGATGCTAGATAAAGAGGGAAACCTTCTACATCTCATCTTTGTGTGATTAAGCTGTGAAGGCCAACTTTATAGGGATGGTGCCCCTATTAAAATCTTCTGGGCACCTTCATCTGTGTTTGCCAGCTCTGAAACATTAGTGCAATCCCCATGAGGTTTCTGGCATTTGTGGAAGATCTGAGATTCATGCAAGTATGATAATACCATACCTGATTTTTTTGATGAAAACCAGTTTCTAGTCCTCAGGGACACAAGCCTGAAAAGCCCTAAGAGGATCTGCTATTAGAAATTGAAGAGAAGGACCTCAAACAAATACTTTCTTTTTAAATCTTTGTGAGGCTAAACCCTCAAGAGGGTAAGAAGCAGGCGATGTGAAGAAGCAGAAGCTGAATCAAATGAAATTAGCAATGTCGAACTCCCTACCATTGAAGACAGGATAAAGAGCTGATGAAATTTGGTAGGATCTGAGACAAC